TCTACTTTTTCCTATTATATTTGAGTTCCTATCCTAGCTTTTTTATTCATTCTAGACTTCATTTTACTATTTTACTATTTTTCCTAGTCCCCAAGATTCTTTAATTGATCTTTTGCTCTAAAACAAGAGCAATTTTTAATTATTCTGCGATTGTATCCCAAACTTCATTTTATTTTCATTTTTTATTTTATTTTTTATATTTCATTTTTATTATTTTTTTTTTTGTTGAAGAAAATCTTCACTCGACTTGTTTGCCATTCTCCCAATCTCGTTTTCCAATTATAGGCATTTACAGTTGATAGATTCCATCGTGTTATTGATAGTGATTAAACTGAAATTTTCTATATGGATTATTATAAAAAAATAGACTTGAACATGAATTAAGCAACATTGAAGATTATTAAAGAATGAAAAAGGTGTAGCAGAAAAAAAACAAAACAATAAATACAATGAACCGATGATTAAATCGATTTTCAGAAAGTGCAGCAGCCATTGTTACATTTTCTGAAAATCGAGAAGAAGGTTATGGAATACAGATGTAAATATCTTTAGAATTTTTTAAGGTCGACGAAGGAAACATGTAACTGGAACATATTACGGAAGTAGAAGCACTTATAGCAATACACTATGTTCTTAGCTCAAATTAATTCTAACTTTTCTGAGTTTTCTTCATTGAGATAATGGGAGATCTTGTTGCCCGAAATCTCTTTACGAAAGTAAGAATTCGAGCTTTATTTATTTATATAAAAGAAAGATTTGCAAAATCTCTTTCTCTTTAATACTTCATATATTTTCATGTATAGGTTTTAACTATTCTTTGATCTTAAATTTCTGTTATATATTAATTTAAACAGCAAGATCTAATTTATATTTTCAAGCATAGTTGATTCGATTAAAATTTCATTTAATGTTTTGTAATAAAATATCAGCTATATCTGCAATGGAAATATAAATGATTTTTTTTAATGTAATAATTTAAGAACATTCTACTAATTTAGTCTCATTTATAATATAAAAGTATAAAATTCTTTTTTTTGGCATAAATAAGAAAAGGGACGCGTTGGAACGTAATTTTTTACCTTTTTTAAAAGATAATTTTGTTAGAAAAACTTAGGAAGAATACAACTTGTGGCGAAAATAATTTCTGTTTATAATTTATTTAATTTATATTTGAGAAAAATTTGTTATCTATCTTTAAAATTTTTTTATAAAAAGCTTGATTTTAACATTAAGAAAAAATCAGAATCGAAATATCAGAAATTATTCTATTTATTTATATTAGACATTACAAATGCGCGCTATATATTATTATTATATATTTGTAGTATATTTACTTTTTCTAGCCTACCTATTTATTGCTGACGTGTGTATTTATCTATGGTCACGTCTTGTCAAAAAAAAAATGGGCTAATGAAATTGTACGAACGGGCATCGTGACGTTTTCAATTTCCAACCAAAGCAACGCGCAACAAGCGAAAACAAGATATTGTATATGTTACAATTTAAACACTCGTCGTAAGTATTTGAGTACTGTTTAAATTTGACCAAAGCGTTTTGATTCTTCCGATCGGAATATTTTTGCGATGGAAACTTCCTCCGTCGCTACATCGAGAAATACCCGGAACGACATAGAAATGATTGGCATACATCAATAAATGTGTGGCGAAATGTTAAAATAAAATCTTGGCCGACTCTCTCGAATATCTTTCATCATATTCATTAAAATTTATCGATTAATTTATTCATGCATTCGCTAAATCAGACGGGAAAAAGATATCATTTCTCAAAATAAGATAACAAAATCAATAC